AAATTATAGATTTTTTAGGGTTTTGTCCTCATTGCCCCAAATCAAATTCAACCTAATATAAATCTTCAACCAACTCAATTCCATAACCGTACCAACTCAATTCCATAACCATTTCTACTGCAATCCCTAGACCTAGACCCAAAATTTTCAAAAACTAACCTTCATACATATGCCAAAAATTCACCCTGATGCCTACAACCTAAAAGCCAAGCCTAAATTATTCTTTTCTTTTAGTCGACATTTGGTTGGAAGAACGAGACACCATATCGCTGGGAGAAACCCTCAACGAGCTGTTCAAGAAACTATCATGAAGAATATGCAACTAGAAATCTGTCGGCAACAAAGATTTTCTACCTTTGAGAGGAGACGACCTTATAAGGTCACCAATAGCCACACCGGTGACTCGCTAGATTGAGGGAAGAGAGTGAATCCTTTCAATTCAGAAGTTCCTAGTCACGAATAACCAATACTCTAGTGATTTTACATGAAATATACAAAGGAAATGCCAAGATTTTAGAGTAGCGGTGGATTTATTGGATTTCGACAGTCCCATGGATCTGATTGAGTTCATCGAGTGTCTCCAAACAATGAACCGGGTCTTTGAGTATAAGGACATTCCACCCGACAGCGTGGTCAAATTAGTCGTAAGTTAACGAAGAATACTTCTTTATGATTGGAAAAGTTGAAGCGCATACGTCAGGGTGAAGGGAAAAATAAAATCACTACTTGGTCTAAAGGTGAAATGAGAGACATAGTGTAAGAAATAACCAACACATTACAAACAAGATATGTTATTAAGATTTCACCACTTACACTAGGAATATATCCTACTAGAAGAGTACACAATTGAGTTTCAACTTATGTTAAAGTGTGGGCTAGTGAAACCCAAGGAGAAAACCATAGCTTGATATTGGGATGATTATGAGTGTTCATTGATAACATGGCCTAATGATAGCCATATTAGACATTAAAGTTGTTCAAAACCTAGCTCTGAAGGTAGAGAGAAAACACAATAGTATTAGGCCTACACCACCCTTCAAACACGGTTCAACCAGTAAGAGCACACTAAGTGGAGTAACCTAGCCTACCTCACTATAAAAAATGTCAAATCAAAATGGAGATAATGCGGAGACCTCCAACACTCCCAAATCCTTCCCAGCTAGGAAGTGCTTCATGTGTCACATCCTTGAAAACATTGTATGATTTCTCAAATAGAAGGTTGATATATTTTGTTGATCACGGTGCAGTGGAGGAGGCGGGGGGTGAAAACTTAAAGGAAAATTTAGTGGAATATCAACTGCTTGCATATGAGGGAGAGATGCTAATAATCTGACGGATCCAATGAACCCATAATAGAGCAACACTAGTTCTGCCACAATAATTTTCGTACTTATTGTACCGTGCAGGGAAAGGTATGCGTCCTCATTATAAATCGAGGCAGATGTGAAAATGTGGATATATACAACTAGTACATAAATTAAAGCTCACAAATCAGAAAGATTTTTGACTATATTCTTTGTTATGGTTGAGAAAAGAAAATAAGATCACAATTGATAGATGTATATTAGAGTTTTTTATGGGAGATAAGCTGCAGGATCGTGTTAGGTGTGATATCATGCCTATGAATGCGTGTCACATTCTTTTGGGTGGACCATGATAATATGATAAGGGTACACTTCATGATAGCCCCAATAATACCTCATTTATCAAGGAAGGGAAGCATATTGCCTCTTTGCTGTTGAAGAAGTCAGTTATGATGGATATTCCGGATATAGGCATGATTTTTGTGGCCCCCTGCCACATTTCTACAGACTATGAGAGAGACACCCGTGAAATCGGCCTTGGTGATACTAGAAGACACTGCCATGGAAGAGCTGATTTCTTAGGCTGTGTTGACCCTCATTAGAGGAGTTTCAAGTTTCTCTGACATTCAGTTTACCTCCTTCTAGGTTGTTACTATTGAGAGCAGTTTAATTTGTCACCACTTTAGATGGAAATGCGAAGGTTTTCGCAATTTTCAAAAGGCCCAATGGTGTAAGCTTAGTGCTAAGTTTAGTTCAGCAAGTCACCCGCTGATAGATGGTCAGATAGAAGGGGTGAACCAAAACATTAAAAATCTCTTTAGGTGCTTTGTGGGAAAAAAATAATCTACAGTGGGATCCATACCCTTCTAGAGAAAAAAGAAGCCTCTCTTAGCCGGGAAAAATGACTCGACAATTTTTCTCTTCTGCTAGATTCCGCGTAATCATGGAATCAATGGGATCCTGTGGTTCCACATGTTCTCGAATTGGAAACCCTGGATACCTTGATCGTGGGAAGGTTGCATGTTTTCTTCCTATTTTCAACCAATTCTGCCGTTCCTAATTTTTTTCCTATTTTTTCATTTGTGATTTGATTTTTTTTCTACGAGTGAACTTATTATATGTTATTTTTTATTTTTGAATGACTTTTTCTTTTTGTGTTTGTTGGAGATTGTAGTCTCTTCTTTTTACCTTAAGGATTATTGTATTTATTTCTTTATGCAAGTGATGTTTATGTAGCTTGTGCAAGTACATGTGGTGAATCTCCTTGCCGTCCATATATGTTGTTTCGAAGTTGTCTTTGTCGTTTTTCATTGGGACAGCCCTTGAAAGATGCTTATCCCCATCGAAATGTCCTCAAACTCATATATTATCAATTCTTTGCTATTCCCCAACCGCCTCTACTCAAAATCTGCTATCTAAACACTTTCTAGGGGCCCTAGAACAGTGTCATATGTAGGGTGGTATACTTGATAGAAGTATAGGACTTTCATTTGGTTAATTTCCATAAAGAAGAAACATTCTAGGGAAAGTATTTTCTTTTGTGCCTAATTCAATCAGCCTTAAGTACTACTCACGTTGCTGCAATGTTCGAGTGTTTTTTCTTCTAATCTTTGTATTTATTCTTTTGGTTGAGGGCCTTTTTATTCTGAAAAGCTTCTTCATAGATTCCTATTTTTTTCTAGCATTCTTACTGTCTATTTGTGAAGACTTGGCCCGAAAGAATATATGAAGACATGATAGATAGTCGGATGGTAGAAATATCCCAAAATTTAAAATAATTGAAAAATATCGTTCAAATAATTAAGAGCCACTAAATATTGACATTGTAGTTTACATCCAATTCACATATTTAGATCAAGTTTTACACAACAATTAATAGAGAATTTTAGAACAAGCTACAACTATTTCCTTAGTTAAACCATAACATTTTAAAAATTATGTTTTTGATAGGGAAATTTTTTTTTGAACATTTATTTAATTTTTCTTAACATTTGATGCATTTTATTATAGTGATTTTTTATTTCGAAGTTTTTAAAAAACCTGAATAAACAAACAAAGAAATAATTATTTTCAATTTAATTGTACCACAATTCTGTCTTATTCTTTTCCTCTATCTCTGAATATTAGTTATTATCACAGTCTTGTTTCTCTCGTAGCAACCCTATGCAAATTAGATGTTATTTGTAGTAAAATAAAATCTAAGGTTTAAGGATTTCATAAGAAATAAAATTGAAAGCATCTATCTCAATTTAGGTTTAAAGGAGGAAAAACTCTCATGTTCATACCTAATTTGAGCAATATTCAATTTCCTCATCATTGATCCGGAAAGCAGCTGCATGTAACGTGTTTGTGCGCTCGATTTGGTTAGCTGCTTTGCATGAAGCTTCTTCTACGCTCTTGCCTACTTGACATGCATACCTACATCTCTTACACACACAATCGTCCTCACTAACTTGATCGCCTGCCCCCTCTCAATCTCTCTCTCCAGTCTTCTGTCCATATGTTGCTATCTCATCTGTCTTATAGCAGAATATGGAAGCGCTAGGGCTGATTATATTGAAATAAAAAAGGATACAAAAATTTGTATGAGAGGGCCCAATAGATGATGTCTTACTCATATGTTACATGATACAAAGATATCCCAACAAAAAGATACAATAGACTCAAAAAAAGAAAACATGCAAAAACAAGTGTCTATGGACGAGGTAGTTTAGACCTGCCTCTTCTATTGGTTCTTTCAGCGGATCCAGGTAGCAAACTCTGAAGCGTTGTTCCATTGCTAGGAGTGACTAAGGTATCTTTCATTAAATTTCCAAGCTGAACAATGTCCCAGTCTTCTTCCTCCGCCAAGAAGTGTAAACTTGCCATTCTTCTTCTGAAGGCTGTTCAGTCTGATCCATAGAAGGAAAGACAGTTGTAGCGATGAATTCCTGAGTTTGTCTAGGACAGTCTTTCAAAACTTGGGAAACACCTGTCCTCTCAACAGGTAGTTCTGACAACTGATTAATAGCAGTAAGATGTTTGTGTTTGGCTCTAAATCCACTATATATATATATATATATATATATATAATATATATATATATCTATATATATATCTATATATAGATATATTTATTTATTTATTTAAAACTACCGGTCACGCTTCATTTATTTGCAGTATTTTTCCTCTTACCTAAGGAGAATTGTACTGCTTAAAAACTAACAGTGTTGATGAAGAAAAGTATTTGTTTAAAGTTAAGTCACTGTCCTGTTTGTGCTATCTTAGCAAATCTAATGCACTTTTTAATTGCTTAGTTGTTTTTGGGATAAAATTTAGGGAAGTTTACAAATGTTGCACACAATTCTTATATATTTACATATTTCACTCCTAAACTTTCATATTTATACACAACACTATGGTGCTGTAAACCTATGCATGAAAATGTGCACTTTACTTTTAAAAATGGCAATTGTGCTATTTTTTATGTGATATTAAAGATTTGTGGGCTTTGTGTTAAATATGCAAGTTTAGATGTGAGATATGTAATTACGTAAGAATTGTGTGCTATGTATGTAAATGTCCCCTTTTTTTCATTGACAATGGTTGCCTTCTCTTTGCATTTGCGTCATAAAAGCAGTTCGCTTATGCTTTCTTTGACGTTCTAATTCCTTTTTATCTAATAAACTTTTATGAAAATTTTCAATGGGTTATCAGGTGCTGCTGATTACCCATCGTTTCACGTGCTCTTAAAACAGCTTGTTTCTCCACTAAGCACTCAGCTATCAGATAGGCGATCAAGTATAGTGAAACAGGTGTGCTTTTAATTTTGGGTGGTGAATATCTGGTGTGTTAGCATGGCTTGTTTAATTCAGTATGGTCTTCATTTATGAGTTTAGTGAGCTTTCTTTATGTAGCTAGGTTTTCTTTATTAAAATGCAAGCTGTGTGCCTTGTTGAACTAAAGCACTTGCAAACTGGTCTATCTTTTCTTTTTTTTCTATTTTTTTTTCTGATTTATATTTCTTTCTCTAGGGCTGCCATTTGCTATGCTTTTTGTCCAAGGAGCTTTTGGGTGACTTCGAGACTTATGCTGAGATGTTTATTCCGGTGATTTAATTGTCTGTGAATTTATTGTTTTTTTTCCTAAATGTTTAATTTGATGTCTTAAGCTTTTGTAAATTTTTGGTTTACTTTAGGTACTTTTTAAGCTTGTCGTGATAACTGTACTTGTGATAGCAGAATCTGCAGACAACTGTATAAAAACGGTATGTAATTTTGTACTTAATGATTAAACGCACATTTGTTTCTTTAATCACCGTGCATTTTCTTCCCAGATGTTTCGAAATTGTAAGGTTGCCCGTGTTCTTCCACGCATAGTGGAATCTGCAAAAAATGATAGAAATGCCATTCTCCGTGCCAGGTAGAATGGCCGTTGTCTAATGATGTGTTTTGTGCGCTTTTGTTTGTCATTCAGTTATTATTTCTATGCTTTATCAGGTGTTGTGAATATGCACTTTTAATTCTGGAGTACTGGGCAGATGCTCCAGAAATTCAAAGATCGGCAGAGCTTTATGAAGATCTGATAAAGTGCTGTGTTGCAGATGCAATGAGTGAGGTATTATCTAACAGAGTGTGGGCATTTTTTATTCCTGCATTAAATACTTAGCATTGTGCTAAAGGGCAATAGAATAATGATTTCCATTTTATTATAATTATTTTAGTGAAGATATATGCTTATCTTGAATACTTAGTAAAAGTATGCAGTCTGCATTCTGTTGTTGCATGTTATACCACTGCAAAAAAAAAAAAAAATAACAAAAATAAAAAACCCCGCCAAACTTGTTGAAAACCATGAAGTGCAATGAAAAAAAAACAGAGAAAAACTTTTAAAAAACGTTGGTAGGGACTTCTATCAAGGGAAAATACATCCTGAAGAAAGAAAAATGATGAATATCAGTAAGTCTAGTTTTGTAGCATTTTAATCAGACAAATGCAAGAACAGCAGAAGCAGAACCTCAGAGGAGCTTAGGAATACCAATGCAGACCAATGGCATGCATTTTATATGGATTACAGCCGATTTTATATGGACATTTGGAGGGAAAATGGCCAATATGGGTAGCTAAGCATAACGAGTGATCTCATTTCATCCTCATTCCATTCTCAGCACACTTTGGAGTTCTTCGAGGCTATATATAGATATATATGATCAAAGGTAGTGTTTTTGATTCAGGAAAATGAAATGTAAAATTTAAGTAGTTGCCTATATTTTCAATTTTGGTTAATGGTTAGTAGTACTGAGTGATGGCTTCAGACTTTTCGGATAGATATGTTTTTTACTCTTCCTTTGCTTATGCAACCTCCCCCCACCCATCCCTGACACTCACATTTAATTTGCCATTTGTTGTTATCAAGCTAAATAGGTACAAACAAACGAGCTAGGTCTACAACAAAGCTTAACATCAGCCTATTCTTTTCTTAAATTATCATGGGCGCTTGAACATGCTCAAGCTGACCCCATGGTGGAGACCATATGATTCAAATGACAAGACATATAGGGTTGGCTCTCTGGTTAAAAGGGACGTATGCCGGTCATCATGCAAAGAACCTCGTACATATTTTAGAAACTTTATTAAGATATATACGGCATAATTAGGGACTTTGTTTAATATATTAATGTTATATATATATATATATATATATATCTGTGTGTGTGTGGGCGTGGGCGTGTGTGTGTGGGCGCGCGTGCGCTACTCTGACTTTTTAGAATTACATGAAACTTATTAGGTCCGATCAACTGTACAAACTTGTTATAAGTTGTTCTAAAAAGCTTGGCCAAAACTAGCAATGATCCCACATAATTTATATATATTCAACTAATTATCTAGTGGCTTTCAAGTTCCGGACATATTTATCAATTTTATTGTTTATTTATCTATTTGTTCATTCCAATTGGAATTTTACTCATTTTCATCAAGCTAGTTGCAGTTTCTATTGTCTGCTGTGTACTTATTAAAATTATGTGAAACTTATTAGGTCCGTTCAACTGCACGGACTTGCTACAAATTGTTCTCAAAAACTTGGCCAGAACGGTCTCGGCGTCTGTTTTCATCCTTTGATCCTGCTATCCAAAGGGTAACTAGTACTATTTTTCTGGAGATATCTCTTTCTACCAAATCTTACTAATTATGTAGGATCATGTCTAGTTAATAAATGATGAAGATGGTGGCATGCATAAAAGATATTCATCCCCATTGCTTCGTGATAGAGGATCACAACCTTCACATGCGCCATCTCATGCTGCTGCAGTGAATGTTCCCGGATTTGGTACTTCTGCCATTGTTGCAATGGATAGAAGTTCCAGCCTTACTTCTGGGATGTCGCTTTCTATAGGATCCCATGCTTTATCACAAACAAAGCAACTTGAAAAACATTCTGAAAGAAGTCTTGAAAACATGCTTCAGGCAAGCAAACAAAAACTCTCGGCCATTGAGAGCTTACTGAGAGGTGTTAGTTTATCTGAGAAGCAAAGAAATTCTAGCACACAATCAACTAGCTTGGATCTTGGTATGATTTATGATGCTTTATATGAACCTTTTATTAGTTTGAATGCTTACTTGTCTTTTGATAGTTAACCATCTCCACCTTTTACTATTCTCTTGTGGCTCGTTTTTCTCTTCCTTCTCAACACTGTTTTCAATATGTCAGATTTAGCTAAAGCTTTTCCTACTTTTCTTTCGCTCCTAGTGCAGGGGTTGATTCCCCAGCTTCTCGGGATCCACCAGTTCTGGCTGCTATACCTGGTTCAAATCATCTTTCTCTAAAAGAATCAATATTGGTGGATCCAACTGCTAACATTGCTAATAGTGCTAGGAATGGTGGTTCAAATTTTACTGATGTTATGAATTCACATAGCCAATATGTGGGAGGCCACTCTAAATACGATAATCTTGCTTCTGATTCATCGTCTTCATTTTCATCATCTTACTCGGTCAAAAGGCATTCTGAAAGGCCACTAGATGGGAGTACTGCTGAACGAAATGTTGATCTCAGTTTTAAGAAACTGTCAAACATACAAATAGATAGACAGTATCCGGATGCACCTTATAAGGATGCTGGCTTCAGGGATCTAAACAGTAATCATGTTCCAAATTTTCAAAGGCCACTTCTTAGAAACCAAGCAAATGGAAGGGTTTCAGCTAGTCGCAGACGCAGTTTTGATGATAACCAGCTTCATTTGGGTGAATTATCTAGCTATGTGGATGGTCCAGGATCCCTCGGTGATGCACTTAATGAGGGTTTGTGCTCTAGTTCAGATTGGGTTGCCAGGGTGTCAGCTTTCAACTATTTGCGGAACTTGTTGCTGCAAGGGCCTAAAGGTATTCAAGAAGTTACACAGAACTTTGAGAAGGTCATGAAACTATTCTTTCGACATTTAGATGATCCACACCATAAAGTTGCGCAGGCAGCTCTTTCAACACTTGCAGAGGTTATCCCTCCATGCAGGAAGCCTTTTGAAAGCTACCTTGAGAGAATCTTGCCATATGTATTTTCAAGATTGATTGACCCCAAGGAGTTGGTGAGGCAACCCTGTATGATAAACTTGGAAATTGTTAGTAGGACATATGGTATTGATTCGTTGTTACCCGCCCTTCTTCGTTCATTAGATGAGCAGAGGTCTCCTAAAGCAAAGCTGGCTGTTGTTGAGTTTGCAAATAATTCCTTTGACAAGCATTCACCAAACCCTGATGGTTTTAGTAATGGTGGCATTCTAAAATTGTGGCTCGCTAAACTAGCCCCTTTGGTAACCGATAAAAATACTAAACTGAAGGATGCTTCTATAACTGGGATAATATCTGTTTATGCCCATGATTCATCTGCCGTCTTGAATTTTATCCTTAGCTTATCTGTAGAGGAACAAAACTTGCTGAGACGGTCATTGAAACAGTTCACTCCCCGCATTGAGGTTGATCTAGTTAATCTTTTGCAGAGTAAGAAAGAAAGGCAACGCTCTAAAGCAGCTTATGACCAGGCAGATGTCATTGGCACTTCTTCGGATGAAGGATACAATGGATTATCAAAGAAGACCCAGCATCTTGGTAGGTATTCAGGTGGATCAACTGATATTGAGGGTCCCAAGAAATGGGATTCTATGCAAGAATCAATTTTAGTTGATACCTTGATTGCAAAGACAGCTTCTGATGAAACTCAACAGACATACCATAACCCTGAACCAGGTTCTGATAATGAGGTTCTTGGTCCACATAACAAAGATTTGAGGCATAAAACAGGTACTTCTTCTGAATATACTAGTTCTGGAACAGATCACAGTGGAATACCTGTTCCTCTTATGGATTGTGAAAGATCCATAAGAAATCAACAACTTGATAATACCCGAATGATTGGCTTTGATGGTCCTAAGGACATAGGGTCAACTTTTGATGGGGAAAGATTACATGATATGGGGCTCTTTCGTGACAATACTAATCCATTAATTAATGTGGGAGCTGAAAATGTACTAAGCATCCCACAAATTCTCCACCATGTAGGTGATAGGATCTTTGTTCTATTTGGTTCATTTCTGATCACAAAGATGCATGCATAGTGATCATCTTGGCATTATTTTTGGCATATCAGTTTTTTGAATTAATTCCATTTTTGTGTGCTTATGTAGATATGCAGCATCAATGGCGACAAATCTAGTCTAAGTAAACATGAAGCTCTGCAGAAATTGGTTGGGGCTTCAATTGCCAATGATAAATTAGTATGGACCAAGGTTAGCATTGTGTATATTTTTGTTTCTTTTAGCTCATTACATTCCCTTTGGAATCAACCTATTTTAATAGGATAAAAGTTTATATGCTATGTGTTATTGCAATTAGTTTTAATTGAATGGAAATTTTATGCAGCTTTTTTCCTTAAATTCGCGATGGAATTTTAAAATCTGTCATGTTGAGATAATTTTATTATTTGTTCAACATTTTGTTAAATAAATTTTGATAACATTGGCGCCGTTTAAAGTGGCCACAATATGCTAATTTGGCATAACGTGGTCATTATAAGCAGTGGCAATGTACCTTTTTTTGTTCAAATTTTCCCTCAACGTCTGTCTTGCCATTGGGCGAAGCATTGCTAGCCGGCAGGAGCGAATTTCACCTCCCATTTAGCCTGTATGAAACCCCCAAAATTCATGCAATGCTCACCCATTTTCTCTTCACTTTCAATGCTTTTTAACAGGCCAATTTTGGTCATAAGTTTTAGTTGTGCGATTAGTTCATTTTATTTTTTTTCATCATGATCGATTGAAACTTCAACATAGTGAGATACTTTCTTATTGCCTTTTACTTTTGGTTATTTTTGTTGAATTGTAAATCTTGTTATATTAGTATAGTTATAATTTTTTATTTTCATTTTGATATTTTATGTAACTATTTTTGTGTTCATTTTGTATATCTTATGAAGCTATGATTTGGTGTTTATATTAATTGTCACAATCTATCCCTTAGGCTTGATTTTTCAAAGTTGGAGTAGACTGTCGAACGGTGAAACTAAATTTATTTTATACCACTTACAAATTGTAATCCAAATAAATCGAAAGAGTCACCAATGAATACAATTTTGATTAACTTTTACATAAAACAATAATGAGCTTACCTTTCTCTATATTGGCCCTCAATACACATTTTCTTTTATATTGCTCATTTTTTTTATCACAAATCTTAAATCTGAACAATGTTAGGTTATGTTTTCGTGTGTTATCACTAACTCAGTGAATACTCATAATTTTAAACTATGGTAACATAACGAAAAAGAAAACAATATTATTTGTATTCAAATTTAATAAATCAATATAAATAATTGTCAATTTATTATTCAATTATGACTATTCAAAAAGGTTTAAAACATTTTACTTTGCCATAAAGCCTATATTTACATAAATCTGTCCTGATTTTTTCCTTTTCAGCATGCTAGTTGTTTCAGAGTCTGGAATAGGCAAACTCTAGAACTTTAAAGGAAACTAAATCTCTTTTATCAAAGACCCCTAATGTGTAGGGCATCATAAGGTCCGGTAGTTCCATGCAGCTGCATTTGGGCTAATTGAATGCCATGTGAAGATTTTCATGTAGGTGCATTTGAAAACAGAACACCTGAGAGGAGGGTAGTTTAACTGATTTGATTGGTTCATCAAGCTGATTTAGTGGATGAAACTAGTTGACAATAATAATTGCAAATTTTCAACTCGTTGCTTGAAAGCGGACTCTCATGGAGAAGTTTGGGAAGGGTTCATATTCTATTAATTTTAATATTTAACTTTGTTTGCTTATAAACACTGTTCAAACTTTATATGATTACCAGAGACATGGAATTTTAACTACTGTGCACAATTGAAGAATTTTTTTTTCTTCTCGTAGACATTTTGTGCAATCAGTTTGTCAGAATATTTGTATCTATGTGAACTGCTTAAGTTTTAGAAGGGTCTGGTGTGAATACCATGCTTTGTTAATGTAAAGATTTGTCTACTCTATTTAAAGTATTGAACTATAGTTGTTGTAGGTTGTGTAGTTGTGTTGTACAATGTGCTTTGATGCCGGAGTGCTTATGCCCGCACGGGCACAGCAAGTGACGCACGCTGACTGGTTCAGTCCATTTGGGAGAAGGATCGAGTGGTCCTTCCTTGCACACGATTTCCTTTTATTTGGAGCGGGACCCATCCATATTTACCCTGAACTACACACACACACACACACACACACACACACACACACACAATATTTTTCCTGCTAGGACTGTATCCGAGGACAAATGGTGCTCCAGTTGTATGTTGCTCCAAGATGGTGATTATCTCTGCATATTTCCATCATTATTCTCCTCATCTGCTTGTTGTTGCCTCCCTGCACCCCTTCTACTTGGTGCCGCCACTTCTTGCACCATCCCTTGCTGCTACCGCCCCTCCCCACCTCTTCCTTGCTACTGTTGCCCCTTTCTTCACCATCTTTGCTTGCTGAGGCCACCTCCTGCAGCAATTCTAGCTTGTTGTCGCCCTTCCAAAGCCCTTCACCGCTGCTCAGTCGGTTGTCCGACTGCTGGATAGCTCTCCAACCATTATTCCCCCAGCCACCGCCACCTTCCCACCTCACCCTAGCAAGATATTTGTGTTTATGTCGTGTTTCTCATAGTTCATGGTTATTGATTGTAATTTCGTTTTGCTTGCGTTATAAAATTTACATCCTCTATTGGGTTTTGGGTTAACTTTGATATCATTTGGTATCAGAGATAGTCTAACTCTAGTTCTATTTTAGGTTTTTTAGCTTTCCTACACATCTCCACCCCAAAAATTTTCTTTCCTACTCTCAATTATCATCTTCCTATTGCACAAATTCAAACTCTAACCATGTCACCAAGGAGACACATGCCAAAATCTACTCGGGAAGAGATACAATGAGAGATCTATAAACTTTAGCAGAGGCTTGCGGATTTTGATAACGTGATACAGGGAGAAATTACCCTCTGTCATGGTATTGAGAGTCGAAGATGAGAAAAGGGGCGGGATTTTGAACCCCTTTCTTAGGGAGGACTTCAATGATGAGGAGGACCGATCACGATGCTTCAGATTCATTATTATAGGAGGCCGAGAGAAGAGGCGACGTATGGAGGACTTAGAGATTTCAGAGTTAAAGTGGATCTGCCAAAGTTTGACGGAGGGATAGATCTAGCTGATTTTATCGAATTATTGCAGTCGGTTGAGAAAATCTTTAAGTGCAAAGAGGTGCTAGAAGGCAAGAGTGTGAAGCTTGCGGCCATCAAATTGAAAAAGAGCACTTCCTTGTGGTGGAAAAGTTTACGGAGGGAAAGGAGGGAACGAAGTGACATGATTATCAGATGGGAGAAGATGAGGAAGGAGATGTAGAGGAAATACTTACCTTCTCATTATCATCAGAATTTATTTTTGAAACTCCATCACCTATAATAGAAAGACCTATTAGTGGAGGAATTTACAACATAATTTGACAGCTTCAAATGAAATGTGAGTTTGTCGAGCTAGGGGAACATACTATAGCCTGGTATCCGGGAGGCCTGATGTCAACTCTCAGTAACATTGTGCAACTACAACCTTATTGGTCACTTGGAGATGTCTAAACCTTAACCTTGAAGGTGGAGAGAACAAAAACAAAGCAAACAAACCACCCTCATTCAAACAACCACCTACAGTTGTAACTATCGACAAGGGTACATCTGGAGAAGTTGGGAAGGCTGGACAAGGAAGTGACAAGCCAAATTTGAGTGGGAAGAAAGCTGAGAAGAGTAGTTCACCCTCTACAATACATGCCAGGAGATGTTTTAGGTATCGCGGGCACGAACACATGGCCTCCAACTGCCCCACGTGCCGAGTTAATTCATTCACTGAGCAAAGTGTCGTCGATGAAGTAGATGAGGAGGAAGTGGGGAGGTTCAAGGGGAGGAACTTCAACTCCAGGGAGATGAGGGAGAAATGCTAGTCGTAAGGAGGATCCTACAGATTGCGCCAGAGAAGGGCCATTTGTGGCCAAGGAATAGTTTTTTCCGCACTAAGTGTACTGTGAAAGGAAAGGTCTGCTTCCTGATTATTATTGATTGTGGGAACTGTGAGAATTTAGTATTCATTCTGATAGTGAAGAAACTGGAGTTGGTCGCACAGAAACATCCTCAAACCTACTCCCTTACCTGGTTGAAAAGCATAAATGATATTTACGTGGATTAATAGTGATTGTTTGAGTTTTCTATTGGAGATCAACCATAGAGTAGGTGCGGTGCGACTTGGCACCTAGGAATGCTTGTCATATTTTGTGGGGCAGGTCATGACAGTTTGTCTGCAAGGCGTACCAGGACGAGAGAGTAGACATCACAGAAGAGACAATAGTTCCGCAATCCATCTTTATGCGGTCGATGTGAGAGGCTCCAGTGGCAACTACTTTAGTCATGTTAGAGGGAGGAGGTTGAGATATATGAGTCTATACAACCATTGCTATTTGATTTTCAGGACGAGATGACTGACAACATTCTAGAGGGATTACCACCAATGTAGGACATTCAACATGCTATAAATCTCGTCTCAGGATCAGTGTTGTCGAACAAGTTGTCCTACAGATTGAGGCATCCAGAGTACGAGGAACTACAGTGACAAACACAATCTCATTTTGAGAGGTTTGGTAGAGAAAGTATCATCCCACGTGTTATCCCCGTCTTGATGGTGCTTAAGAAAGGCGAGTACCCATTATGTGCATTGCCTAGCCAAATTTCTTCAATGTCAGGTAAAGTGATATCTCTCTCCGCAATGATCCAGGCGACATAAAGCCTAATGAGATTAAACGTGGGTATGTCTAATTTCATTGGTATCCCAAGCATGGCCCCAATGGAATAAAAGACCTGATGGTTGAAAAAAATCAACTTAAGACCAGGTAACTTAAATCATATTGGTACTGTAGGTGGTCCTTGGTTTGGATCAAATTCAGGAGATCACTTGAGCAACTTCAAGTTTTTCCTTCAATGGTGAGGTATTTACTGTAGAAATTCCTAGCATAGTCTTCGAACGTAGTCAAATGTATCATCACATATCTCTCATCAGACTATATATATATATATATGTATATATATATACATATATATATGTATATATACATATATATATGTATATATA